TGGGAGGTAAAATATTCAGGGGAAAAGTGTTTGGGTGGATGTGTTGAGGTAAATATTCATGGATAATGATCGCGGGATGGTTGAGGTAAAATTTTCTTTGGATAGTGATCGCTGGATGTGTTGGGTAAAATTTTTCATGGATAGGGGATCGCTGGATGTGTTGAGGGAAACTTTCATGGATGTGATGCTGGATGTTTTGAGGAAAACATATTTTTGGTATGGATCGTTTGACATGTTAAAGGAAAACATTTTAGGGAAATAGGGGATCGCTGGATGTGTTAAAGGGAAAACATATTCATGGATAGTGATCGCGGGAAAAGTGTTGAGGGTAAAAATATTCATGGTTAGTGATCGCTGGATTTTGTTGAGGAAAACTTTCTTGGATAGTGGATCGCTGGATGTTTTGAGGTAACATTTTTCAGGGAAATAGTGACGGGACGTGTTGAGGTACATATTCAGGGATAGTGATCGCTGGTTTGTTGAGGAAAAATTTATTCATGGATAGTGATGCTGGATGTGTTGGGGGTAACATTTTCAGGGATAGTGATCGCTGGTTGTTTTTGAGGGTAACATTTCTTGGTTAGTGAATTTTGGATGTTTTGAGGTAACATATTCTTGGTTAGTGTTTGCTTGTTGTTTTGGAGGAAACCCAATTTAAAGGATAGTGATCACGGTTGTGTTGAGGAAAACATATTATGGAAAAGTGATCGCGGGATGTGTTGAGGAAAAATATTCATGGATAGTGATTGCGGATGTGTTGAGGTAGCATATTCTGGTTTTTGATGTTGGATGTGTTGAGGTAACATTTTATGGTTTAGTGATCATGGATGTGTTGAGGTTTAACATATTAAAGGGAATAGTGATGGGCTGGATGTGTTAAAGGTAACATATTCATGGTTAGTGATCGCTGGATGTGTTGAGGTAACATATTATGGATAGTGACCCCCGGGATGTTTTAAAGGAAAACATATTATGGATAGTGATCAATGGATGTGTTGGGGAAAACATATTCATGGATGTGATTGTGGATGTTTTGAGGTAATTATTCATGGATAGGGAATCACTGGTTTGTTTTGAGGAAAACTTTTTCATGGATAGGGGACGCTGATGTGTTGGGGTTTCTTTAATGGATAGTGTTTGGGGGGGGGGCTTGGGGGGTTTTTTTTTTTTTTTTTGGGAAGGTAGCTTTTCAGGGTATTTATCCCCGGGGTTGTGTTGAGGAAAATTTTTCATGGATGTGATACGGGATGTTTTGAGGAAAACATATTTTGGATAGTGATCCTGGTGTGTTGAGGTAACTATTCAGGAAGTGATCGCTGGAATGTTGAGGTAACTTTAATGGAAAAGTGTTCGCGGGGATGTGTTGGGGTTTAAATATTCATGGTTTAGTGATCCCCTGGATGTGTTGAGGTAACTTTTTAAGGGATAGTGACGTGGATGTGTTGGGAAAACATATTCATGGTAGTGATCACTGGATGTGTTGGGTAACATATTCGGGTTAGTGTTTGGTGGATGTTTTGAGGTAACTATTCTTGGTTAGTGATCGCTGGGACTTTTGTTAAAGGTAACATATTCATGGATAGTGTTTCCCCTGGACGTTTTGGGGGTTTAAATATTCATGGATAGTGACCCCTGGATGTGTTAAAGGAAACATATTCATGGTAGTAAAGGGCTGGATGTTTGAGGGAAAAACATTTCATGGTAGTGACCCGCGGTGTGTTGAGGAAACATTTCTTTGGGATAGTGATCGCGGGATGTGTTAAAGGGTAACATATTCATGGTTAGGGGATCCGGGAACGTTTTGGGGGGGGAAACCCCATTTTCTTGGTTAGTGATCGCTGGACTTTTTGGGGGGAAAAACATTTTCAGGGGAAAATTGATCGCTGGATGTGTTGAGGTAACATATTTTGGATAGTGATCGCTGGATGTGTTGGGGGTACATATTCATGGTTAGTGATCGCTGGGGGTGTTGAGGTAACATATTCATGGAAAAAGTGAACGCGGGAAATGTGTTGAGGGTAACCATATTCTGGATAGTGATCATGGATGTTTTGAGGAAACATTTTCATGGTAGTGATTGCTGGATGTGTTAAAGGTAACATTTTCCATGGTTAGTGATCGCGGGGACGTGTTGAGGAAAACATTTTCATGGATAGTGATCGCTGGACGTTTTGGGGAAAATTATTCATGGATAGTGATCGCTGGATGTGGGGGAAGGAAAACATATTCATGGATAGTGATCGTGGTTGTGTTGAGGTAACATATTCATGGTTAGTGATCGCTGGATGTTTTGGGAGGTAACATATTCAGGGGATAGTGATCGCTGGATGTGTTGAGGTAAACATATTCAGGGGATAGTGATCGCTGGATGTGTTAAAGGGTAAACATATTCATGGTTAGTGATCGGGGATGTTTTTTAAAGGTAACATATTCATGGATGGGTGATCGTTAGACTTGATGAGGTAACTTTTTCATGGATAGTGATCCCCTGGATGTGTTGAGGTAAATATTCATGGATAGTGATCGTTGGATGGTTGGGGAAACATATTCATGGATAGGGGATCGCTGGAATGTTGGGGTAACATATTCATGGATAGTGATCGTGGACGTGTTAAAGGTAACATTCATGGATAGGGGATCGCTGGATGTGTTGAGGTAACATATTCTTTGGATATTTGATCGCTGGCCGTGTTGAGGGTAACATTTTTCATGGAAGTAAATCGCTGGATGTGTTAAAGGTAACTTATTCATGGTAGTGATCCCCTGGATGTTTGAGGTAACTATTCTTGGAAAAGTGACTTTGGGATGTGTGGGGGGTAACATATTCATGGATAGTGATGTGGATTGTTGAGGTAACATATTCAGGATAGTGATGGGGGATGTTTTGGGGAAGGAAAACATATTCATGGATGTGATCGCTGGATGTGTTGGGGTTTAAAATATTCAGGGAAAATAGGGGATAGCTGGTTTGTGTTAAAGGTAAAAAATTTTCATGGATAGTGACCCGCTGGATGTTTTGGGGTTTAACAATTCTTGGATAGTGTTTCGTGGATGTGTTGGGGTTTTAAACATATTTTGGATAGTGATGCTGGATGTTTTGGGGTAACTTATTCATGGATAGTGATCGCTGGATGGTTGAGGAAAACATTTTTTATGGATAGTGATCGCTGGCGTTTTGGGGGAAAAATATTCATGGATAGTGATAGCTGGATGTTTTGGGGTTTAACTTTATTCATGGATAGTGATCGCTGGATGTGTTGAGGTAACATATTCTTGGATAGTGATGTGGATGTGTTGAGGAAAAACATTTTCCCATGGAAAAGTGACGTTAAATTGGTCGAGGTAACAATTCATGGATAGGATGTTTGGATGTTTTTCAAAGGTAACATTTTTCATGGATAGTGATCGCTGGATGTGTTGAGGAAACATATTCATGGATTTTTATCTTTGGATGTGTTGGGGAAAACCAAAATTTCAGGAAAGTGATCGCTGGATGTTTTTGGGGAAAACTTATTAAATTGGATAGTGATCGCTGGATGTTTTTGAGGTCTTTATTTTTTGGATTTTTTTTTCGCTGGATGTGTTAAAGGAAAACTATTCAGGGGATAGTGATGCTGGATGTGTTGGGGTTTAAAATTTTTCTTGGTTTGGTAAATACTGGATGTTTTGAGGAAACTTTATTCATGGTAGTGATCGCAAAAATGTTTTTGAGGTAACATTTTTTCATGGATGTGATCGCGGGGATGTGTTGGGGGAAAACTTTATTCAGGGAAGTGATCGCTGGATTTTTGGGGGAAAAATTTATTCATGGTAGTGATCGCTGGCGTTTTTGGGGGAAACATTTTAAAGGATGTGTTCCCCTGGTGTTTTTGGGGGTAAAAATTCAGGGATAGTGATCGCTGGATGTTTTGGGGGAAAACATTTAATGGATAGTGATCGCGGGAAAGGTTGTTAAAGGTAACATTCAGGGTTTATTTGATCGTTTGGATGTGTTGGGGAAAAACAAAATTCATGGAAGTGATGTGGATGTGTTGGGGGAAACTTTAATGGATAGTGTTTGCGGATGTGTTGGGAAAACATTATTCATGGATAGTGATCGCTGGATGTGTTAAAGGGTAACTTTAATGGTTTGTGATGTGGATGTGTTGAGGTAACATTCAGGATAGGGGACCCTTGGATGTTTTTGGGGGGAAAACATATTCATGGATAGTGATCGCTGGATGTTTTTGAGGTAACATTCAGGGATAGTGATCGCGGATGTGTTGAGGTAACTATTTCAGGGATAGTAAACCCCTTTGGAGGTGTTGAGGAAACATATTCATGGATAGGGGATCGTGGTTTGTGTTGAGGTAAATTTTCATGGAAGTGACCCGTGGATGTGGAGGAAAATTTTTTTAGAAAATTGTTACAAAAAATTTGCCTTTGTCTCCATTTTTGAAAATGTGACATTTTTCAGAAGTCATATTACAAAATTAATATGTACAGCAGCACTTTTCCCAAAATTTTTTATGCCACAAATTTTCAATGGTATTTTATCGAATGTGTAGATTCCCCCTTCTTTTTTTTTTTTTTTTTTGGTTTTTCCCCAAATTTTTAAATTTTGGATATAACAATTTTTTTTAAAAAAATTTTATTTATATATATATATATTATATTTTATTTATATATATATATATATATTATATTTTTTTTTTATTATATATATATATATATTATTTATATATTTTTTTAAAAATTTAATATAATATATTACTATAATTTATATATATATATTTTATATTATATATTTATATATATATATATTTAAAATAATATATATTTTGTACCTTTTTAAAAAAAATGCATGTTTTGTTTTTTTAATTTTATAGCAAAAACTGACTAAACTGCGGGCATTTTCCCTTCCCCATGGTTACCAGAGAAAAACCCCAGGTTAGGGGGGTTTTTTTTTAACATGTAATCAAAAACCAGACTGGGACCCAATTTTAGAAATCTTTGATTACCTGTTGCATTTTTCAAAGTCTTGACATGGGCGGTGCATCTGGTGTGGGCGAGGCGTGTGTCTGTGTCTCTTGCGAGGGGATGCTGCCCTAGCTCCACCCTCAGCCCTGGGAGTCCCACCCTCACTTCCACCAGCACCTCCCACTGACCCATTAGCCTCTCCTGCTCCACACGTAGACAATAAACCTTCTCTCCCACTACTCGCTAGGCTAAGCATTTTTGTTGGTGGGGAGACAGAGCTTAGGGGCTTGTGAGCCTCAAGGGGTGGGGAGGTTCTGAACTGGACAGGTGGGCGTGACCCAGTGGTCAATACGCATACTTCCTCGTCACTGCTTCCTAGAAAGTGAAAATAACTAAATTTAAAGAAGCTTAATACTACATAAAAAAAGTTAATAAAAAAACACTATATTTGTGGCATTGGGAAAAAAATGGTACTGTATAGTGCTTTGTAAGTTGCAACAACTCTGCTACATAGAATAATCTTTCATCACATTAGTTCATTTATGGCAGACACCATATGGACACCATTCTCTTAACCAGAGTCAAGCATTACCTGGCTACCTCTCCACAAGAAGATGAAGGTGCTCAAATTAGTACTGGAATTACTTTAATAAATTAATAAATAAATAAACAAATAAATAAATAAAAACACAACTAGGTTCCTATATTTTTTCTTAAAAATAATACCTACCACTTTTTTTTTTTTTTTGTCATAGAAGATAGTTTAGTTTTCCAAAAAAATTAAGTCCTTAATAATACCCCAGTGTCTTACATGACCAAAGTCAAAAAAAATTACGAAAAAAAATTTAAATACAGTGGTACCTAGAGTTTCGAACAGCTCCCAACTCAAACAATTATGTAAGTGTATTGTTCGGGGTCTGAAACAGACTAATCTAATTTATATTATTCCTTTTGGGAAAAAATTCGTTTGGGATCGGCATTCGAACAGCCTTCTGGAACAAATTAAGTTCGTAACTCAAGGTACCACTGTACCTGAAATAATATACAGTGGTACCTCGGGATATGAACAGCTAAAAATTCGAACAATTATGTAAGTGTATTTATGTAAGTGCTTTGTAAGTGTACTTTTGGGGGTCGGGAAACATATTATCTAATTACATTATTCCTTATGGGAAAAAAAAATTCGTTCGGTTAGCGGCACTCGAACAGCCGTCGGAACGAATTTAGTTCGTATCCCGAGGACCACTGTATTATGTTCATGGAAAATAATACATAAGGGTGTTACAGGGGAAATAAAAGGGGTTGAAGAAAATCAGCTTAGATCCAAACAAGGGGAATGATAATTCCAATTTCAAAATCACAAAGCAAAATTTTCAGCAGCCATTTACAAGCGATGGTGGTCTTACTGTTCAGTATTAAGGTTATGATGACCCAAATGTGGTTTGAACTTATTTTGGTGAATACAAGCTGTTTTATGGCTTAGTCAGCCACAACAGAGATTTTATATGGCTCAGGACAGCCACACCAGAACCTTTTTGTGCTCAGTCACCCACACCAGAGCCATTTGTGGCTCTGTCACCCACACCAAGCCATTATGTGGCTTTGTCAGCCACACCAGAAGCCATTATGTGACTTCGTCAGCCACTCCAGAGCTGATGTGACTTTAGGTATCTGTTCAATTCTCTCTTGAAGACATTTAAGGGGTCTATTGGTCATTCCCCTTGTGTATGATGGGAGGCTTTTTGAACACTCTTGGGCCCCTAGACTTTATTGTGCTTTCATAGTCCCCCTACTTTTCATTGGGGGTATGTTGCCCCATCTGCCAAACTTCTGTTTTCCCTTTTGATATACCTTTGATGAATTCTGAGGTTTTTTCTACTCTCAGAGTTCTGTCCTGGGCCCGGCTAGCCTGGTGCTACCCTGGCCAACCAGGATGTTGCCATTGCCCCCACATATCCATCACAGCCTGGTTCTATTCCACCTGGTAAAGATATTTATCCAGTTTCCTTTTGGACTTTTTCACTTGTCCCAGCAGTTTTTCTGATATCTTTGATACGATTGTTGAATAGTCAGGGGGCTACAAACGTTGGGATACAGTGTTCTCTGATTGTGCCCACTGTACCCCTGCTTTCACTTGGTTTATTTTGCACTTCCTCCCATATTTCTTACTCAGTATGTTGTTATGGCAGTGTGCAGATTTTTGGGGCAAGGCCCTGAAATATTTTCCAGGTACAGTAGGGCCCGCTTTTCGGCGTTTTACCTTACGGCATTCTGTTTTAATACAGCGATCTCAAAAATTATGACCAAAACTTTCTATTTCAGTGAGTGGTCTTTCAAATACGGCGTGTGCCACACAGTTTGTTTTCATTCTCCATGAGCACATCTCTCTATTATGTAATAATAAACACTCTTGGGGACATTAAATGTCTTATTTTAAGTCAATACAGACATTTTCATTAATCCATCTATGATATTTTCATCAAAATTACATAAGAAAACACGTTAAATAGCATATAAACATTTTATATTCATATACTATGGAGGTGTGGTAGCCGGGTGGAGGGAAACATTTCGTCATTCCCCTTAATACATAACGCTTTTGTTTACAATTCTCGGCATAAATTATCCATTACGTCTCACTTTTGTTTATGATGGCATCTAAGGGTAGTTGTTAGAAATTTTTAAACTCAGTGGAACATGGCATGTCGATGGTAATAAAATGGCTCTGGGCCACAATAAACATCATGTAGCTATGTAGCCCAGGTGGATGACATACCTACATTATTACTGTTTATTATTTTTTTATTTATTTATTAACAATTGAGCACACATACCTGGAGTTTACCTGGAGAGAGTACCGGGGGTCAACGCCCCGCGGGCCCCCTCTGAGACCAGGCCTCCTGGTGGATCAGAGCCTGATCAACCAGGCTGTTGCTGCTGGCTGCACGCAAAAACCCAAAATACGAGCCACAGCCCGGCTGATCCGGAAAATGACTTTAGGTGCTTGTCCAGTTTCCAGCTTGAAAACTGCCAGGGGTCTGTTGGTAATTTCCCCCCTTATGTGTGCTGGGAGGGAGTTGAACAGTCTCGGGCCCCTGACACTTATTGTATGGTCTCTTAACGTGCTGTGACACCCTGCTTTTCATTGGGGGGATGGTGCATCGTCTGCCAAGTCTTTTGCTTTCGTAATGAGTGATTTTTTGTGTGCAAGTTCGGTACTAGTCCCTCTAGGATTTTCCAGGTGTATATAATCATGTATCTCTCCCTCCTGCGTTCCAGGGGAAAACAGGTTTAGGAACCTCAAGCGCTCCCCCGTTTAAATTTAGGTGTTTTATCTCGTTATGCGCTCCGTTATCAGAGGTACAAAAAATACAGATAAGGCAGCATGCCAAAGCCACTTATACTATGCATAGCATTACGGGCTGGCTTAAAATTAACTTCAGATTAACTAAGCAATGATGAAATCAGTGATAAAACATTAATGTAAACAGATAACTATAAAGCACAAGTGAGTATTACAAAGACAGGTCATATGGTTGCATTCAGTCATATGAAGTATTCTGTTAGGTAGTGTATTTAAAAAATAATAAAGTTAGATTCGGTTTTAGGTTTAACATTTATGTGATATAATTGTGAGAAACATTTAAGATATACAATTTATAAGGTTCAGTTATTCAGTATTTATTTGGTTTTGGGTGAGTAAGTGATCTTTGAGAAGAGACTTGAATTTATAAACAGGTAGTGTTTCTTTTATATTTACAGGTAATGAATTCCAGATTTTAGGGCCTTTTATGTGCATTGAGTTTTTGCATAGTGTGAGATGGACACGAGGAACATCAAAGAGTGATCTGTGCCTTGTGTTATGGTCATGTGTTCTGTTGAGGTTGGCAAGGAGATGTTTGAGGGGAGGGTTAATATCAGAGTTAAGTGTTCTATGTATGTAATAGGTGCAGTAATAAGTATGGATGTTTTGTATGGTGAGTAGGTTTAGTGTATTGAATATTGGTGGAGTGTGCTGCCTGTAGTGAGAATTTGTCATCATTCTATCTGCAGCCTTTTGTTGGGTAATTAGTGGTCTGAGATGGTTAATTGTTGTTGAGCCCCATGCACAAATTCCATAGGTGAGATAGGGGTAAATAAGAGAGTGATATAGGGCCAGGAGGGCTGACTGTGGAACATAGTACCGTATCTTCGATAGTATGCCCACAGTCTTGGAAATTTTCTTAGAAATTGTTGTATATGTGTATAAAATTTGAGTCTATTATCATGGTGGATTCCTAAGAATTTTCCCTCTGTTAGCTTTGTGATAGGTGATCCGTTTATCATTATGTTAAGAGGGACATCTGTAGCTCTGTTACCAAACTGAATGAAGTAGGTTTTGTCAATGTTTAGTGTAAGTTTGTTAGTCCTCATCCAGGTAGATATTTTCTGTAATTCGGTATTTACAGTATTGGCTAGCGTGACTGGGCTCGAGTGAGAGAAGACGTATGTAGTGTCATCTGCAAATAGTGTGGGTTTGAGTAATTGCGAAGCATTTGGAAGGTCATTTATGTATAGGAGAAAGAGAAGAGGGCCAAGGACACTTCCCTGTGGGACACCAACTGTAATTGGTTGCGCAGAAGAGTTTGCCCCATTTGCGTACACATATTGGCTTCTGTTGCTGAGGTATGACTTGAGGTAGTTGAGGGAGTGCCCTCTTATACCATAGTGTGACAATTTTACGTGGAGCAAGTCATGGTCAACTGTATCAAAAGCTTTACGTAAGTCAATGAAGATCCCCAGTGGGACTTCTTTTTTCTCTATTGCAGTGTATATATGTTCTAGCATGTGTATAATAGCATCATTAGTATTTTTGTTAGGCCTGAATCCAAATTGGCAGGGGTTGAGTATGTTTTGGGAGATAAGGTAGGAGTAGATTCGTTTATGAATTAATTTTTCGAAGATTTTTGAGAGAGGGTGTAAGTTGGATATTGGCCTATAGTTATTCAACTCTGTTTGGTCTCCTCCTTTGTGGATCGGGGTGACCCTTGCTATTTTGAGTACTGTAGGGAAGGTGGAGGATTCAATGGATTTGTTAAAGAGTGTTGCAATGATTGGTGATAGCACTTGTGACACTTTTTTGTATATAAAGGGCGGTAAGGTATTTAAATCTCCTGCCTTGTTTTTTAGTGCGTTGATAATAATGGAGACTTTGTATGGGTTAGTCGGAGCTAGGAACAGTGTGTTCGGGTAGTTGCCGGTGAGGTAGTCATTTGGTGGGGTATCTGAGCTTGGGATTTTATTGGCAAGGTTTTGTCCTATAGTGGAGAAGAAATCATTGAGTCTGTTTGCTGTTTCTGTTGGTGGGAGTTGGGGTTCATCTGATTTTGGTAATT